CTCCTTTGTCTCTGGTCATGGGACTTCTTGGCCCTCATAATCACAGGAGCCAATTCCCATGATCAACCTCGTCTCATATATGTCTGCACACACCCTATCGGTCTATTTTTCCAGAGAACCTTAATATATCCACTGACTGGAAAACAGGCAGAGGGGTCAGAGGTTAAGTGACATTCCAGGTGGCTGGAATGAGCTGCAGCTTAGGACCCACACAGCCAGAGTGACAAAACTGGTTCCCCCATTCCCTATTGATATTTTCTTCCCAGCAACTCCACCCAAACCACCGTGAAGAGTAAGGCCAGTGACAGGGGCTGCACTGGGTGCAGGAAGGCTACTCGCCAAAGTCCTGGGGGGGGGGGTTCTGGACCCAGCAGGTGTTGGGCGCCACTGTTGGGGGTGTCCAGAGTAAGGAGGCTGTGTGTGCACCCAGGACTCCCCTAGCAGACTGGTGAAGATGGGATCCTTTTGCAAAAGAAGGATGTATCACTGCCTAAAATAAAACACACCATTTCAGAAAAACAGATCCAGTTATCAAAAGCTATGTCTATTGTAGGATGTGACTTAAGGGGTGACAGATTTCTATTACCTTGATGGGGGCGAGGATCCTGAGGTGCAACAAGTGTGATCAGAACTTTCCAGACTGCATACCTCCAGTGTGCCCAGCTGACTGCGTCTCACTTGCACCCCCTTAAGGCCAGGAAACATGGAAGTGCTGTGCAGAAGGGGACACGGGGTGCATCTGTTATGGATGTCAGCCTGAGTTATTAGCACTGGAGGTGACAAAGCCATCTGACAACCTCATAATTTCAACTGAGTGGGGAGCAAAAATAACATTTCATAGTTCTTGCAACAGCCATGATGTGACATGAACATGTCTGATGTTTCTGCTGCTGGCACAATCATAGGTCCTGTGCACAAAGTGTTAGGAAATATTGCCTACATTCCAAATGGGAGGAAACGCTCAATGTCAGTCAGAGTCTTCCTAAGAGCAAAGAGCTGTTTTCAGCATCCCTGTATGAGCCTGCCGGTAGGACATCCCATACTTGCCTCACCTGCTGCCCACCAGGCATGGGGGGAGCCTGAGAACTATGCAGAAAACATCCTTGCCCTGTGGAGTTAGCCTTCCAGGGACAGCCACAGTGCCTGGGAAATCCCAGTGGAGCTGCCCACCCTAAACAGCGTCACAGGAGAGGGGGCAGGACCCTCAGGGAATGGTCCTGGCCTGTCTCGGGGATGGAAAGGAGCTCCATAAGCTGGGCCAGGGCCAAGGGATCATAAGAGAGATGCAGGGAGGGAGAAGCTGGCATGAGATGGGGAAACTGAGGCAGGTGCATGACTACAACAACAGGAGTCAAGGCCTGGCGGGCTCCAGACTCCAGGTTAGGCCAAGAAGCAGGGCTACCTGGGGTGGGGTGGGGAATTTGGTGTGGGTATGGGGGCTCTGCAAGCCCCCTCACAGGACCTGTGCTTCAGAACAGCTGTAATAATTCCTGCAGCTTTCATCAGGAGGGGCATGCAGGAGGGCCGGCTTTGAGAATGGGCCTGGAAGAGAATAAGGGAGCAGGGCCCAGCAGACAGAAGGGCAGGGGCCTCTCCACACCCACTCCTGTCTGGCCAGAAACCAGTCTCAGAGTCCCCTCTGGGCTCAAGGGGCCCATAGAGGCCAGCCCAATGGAGCCAGGAGCATGTGGCAGAGCACAGGGAGCCAGAGAGCCTTCTTTCCCCCCACCAAGCAGGGACCCTTTCAGGAGGATAACGTTGTGCAATTCCGTGCTGAATGTTGAGTATATTGACTAAATAGTGAGCTCCCTGTCACTGGGGAGATAACATTGCAGCCTGTAGAAACACTGAAGCTTTAGTGTCCTGAGAGGCTGGGGGAGTGGAGGGGAGCAGTGGAAGAGCAAAGGTGTGTCAACAGGCATGCTGAGGGCAGAGTGAGTTCCAGAGGCTCAACCTTAGCTGTGTGACCTTGAGTGGACTTGCAACCCCTCTGAGTCATTAGCCTGTGGTGAACACTGCCCACCTCACAGGTGCTGCACACAAAGGCAGAGATGCCTGCCGACTTGGGTCCTGGAGAGTATGGACATTTCCTACTCCCTCTCCTTCCTATTCCTTTGCTCTAACTGTCCTTCCATCCTTGCAGCCACCTTCCTTGGGGGACTTAATGTTCAGCATACCTGCATAGTAAGTTCAGGGACTCCCAGAGGGAGGAGTTCAACCCCAGCCACCTCCCCTCCCCCATGTGGGCAGGCTGGAGTGAGGATCTGGGCACTGGAGACTTAAGCCTGACAGTGGAGGACCTCAGGCTGGCAGCCCTCTAGTCAGCTCACCTCATCCCCTCCTGGCCAAAGTTGGGCAGGCACTCCACTCAATGAGTCTCCAGGATGTCTATCCCCAGAATGCCTGGGAAGAGGGGCTATGGTTCCCAACATAACCTCAGGAAAGCACCAGGGCCTCAGTTTCCCTAGGTAACTGCCTGGCACTTTCTGGCTCCCTGACAGATCTGCTAGTCACAGCTGGAATCCTCGTACCTATATGGTCTGAAGATGCCCCTAGGACCAAATCAGGAGGAAGGTAAATTCCTTAACACAGGAAGCTATCTTGTTCTTTTTTAAACTGTGTGTCTTTCATATGCTCCTTCCTGTCTATATTAATTAAAATAATTTTAGCCCTGGCCAGTGTGGCTAAATGGTTAGAGTGTCAGTCCCATGCACCAAAGAGTCGAAGGTTTGTTTGATTCCCAGTTAGGGGCACATATCTGGGTTACAGATTCACTTCCCAGCCCTGGTCAGGCGGTGTGGGAGGCAACTGTCAATGTTTCTATCTCACTCTCTCTCCTGTGTCCTCCCTCCCTTCCACTCTCTCTAAAAATTGATGGGGGAAATATCCTCCGGTGTGGATTTAAAAAGAAATGTTTTTAAAGGACCTTCCTAAGGACACATGAGCCCTTGCAGACAACTGGCCATGGGTCAGCTCTCCAAGGCTGGGAGCCTACACCACCTGAAGGTTCTGTGCCCCACCTTGGAGGTATGGACCCCTGGAGGCGCTTTGTATGAACAGTCTTGGAGTATTTATGAGGTTGGGCGTCAGAGGCAAGGTCCAGAACACATAGGTGGTCAAGCTTGGGGGAGGCTGGGCTCCTGGCTCATAGGGCCAAGAGCCCGCAGCCTCACAGGAGAGGAGGTCATCAGTGTTTGGGGCAGGAGGAATCCCTGTTGAGTATGGGCAGCCCCTAGAGCAGCGGTTCTCAACTTGTGGGTCGCGACCCCTTTGGAGGTCGAACGACCCTTTCAGAGGGGTCGCCTAAGACCATCGGAAAACACATATATAATTACATATTGTTTTTGTGATGAATCACTATGCTTTAATTATGTTCAATTTGTAACAATGAAAATACATCCTGCATATCAGATACTTACATTACGACTCATAACAGTAGTAACATTACAGTTATGAAGTAGCAACAAAAATAATGTTATGGAATGAGGAACTGTATTAAAGGGTCGCGGCATTAGGAAGGTTGAGAACCACTGCACTAGAGGCTGGTGAGGTCCCAGCAGCTCTAGTCCAGTGAGGGGCCCTGCCCAAGGGGAACAGGGGAGCAAGGTGGGCAGAAGGGGGACAGGAGATCCTCACCCTCCGCCAGGCCAGGAACACAGGCAGGCCCCTGGGCCAGGGCCCAGGTGATGGCTGTTTTGCATCCTCCACAACACCAGGGCCCAAGGCTGAAGAGACCCCCAGCAGTCTCCTCAGCGTTTAATTGGGGGAACCCTTGTGGCAGCAGGAGGGTGGGAGGAAGAGGAGCCCAGGTGTAAGTGGGGGGAGGGGGAAACTATGATGGGTGGGATGCCAGAGTAAGGTTCCCAATGGGGGCCACAGCCAGGTCCCGAGTCTGGAGAAAACAGAACCATGATGCTTCTCGCCTTCCTTCTGATCTGCCCAGGGAGGCTTCCCCGAGAAGGGGGCTACCTCTTCTTGTCACCTGGACCGTGGCTCAGCGGCCTCCCCTGGGGCAGCGCTGGCCCTGCTTGACCCCTACTACTAACAGCTGTTTTTTTGTTTGTTTGTTTGTTTTTTAAATTTCAGAGAGGAAGGGAATGGGAGAGAAAGATAGAAACATCAATGATAAAAATCATTGATCCGCTGCCTCCTGCACGCCCCCTACTGGGGCTCGAGCCCGCAGTCGCAACCCAGGCGTGTGCCCTTGATCAAACTCCAACTTCATTCCGCAGGCCGAATGAGCACCTGACAGCTTTTTATTTGATCTGCGGCCAGCTCCCCACAGCAACAATTCCGCGATCAAGGGACTGCGTGGGTCGCAGTGGGTGTCTCCAGGGGGCGGCACCCGGGAAACTCCCTCCTCAACGGTTTCCACAATTCGGGGGCAAGGGCAGCCCGTTCGCGGGGACCCCCTGGCCGGGGAAGGGGTCTGACATCCTGCCTGCTGTCTTTCCGGGATCCCAGGATTTGCTCGAGCCTCAGTACTCGTAACCACGAAATATGTTTTTAGCTTCCCCACGCCACCTTCCCGGGAGACCGGCGGCCCGGGCGTAGACGGACTTCGTCCCGGGGGTGCGCATGCGCAGAGGTGGGACGCGCACGCACAGATTGCCCCCACACAGCACTCCCACTCCTGGAACCTGCGCGTGCGCGCCGTGGCGGGGCGTGGGCG